TTTCAGATAGCCAATTGTTACCATTTTAATATCTTAAGATTGTTTGGGTAAGACAAAACTGAAGCTTTCAGTACTGAAATATCAGAACTGGTGAGGCTATGTTTTATATATGTATATTTCAGGTCAGATTATCGTCCTTATGAAATAGTCAAACAACCTCGCCACATGCCAGAAGAATATAAACCCAAAGAGGGGAAGATTGATCTTGGTACTACCTACAAACGGGATTTTAATTCTTACAAAGTGCAGCCTGTGGTAATAGTCCGGCCTGTGGAAAGACAACAAGTTAAAAAAGGAAAGTTGGACACTGTCCCAACTTACAAAGGTAACATGCCATTGCAAAACTGAAGGAGCCAGAAACCCTAAAACTTCTAGCTTTGCCATTTTAAAAAATCAAATTGTACTTTTGCTCTATTGCAATATTTAGCCACTGAGGTTTAGGAAAGAACTTTCTTTTCTTTCATCAAAATGGTGTTTAGTGAAAAATAGAACAACAACAAAAAATTTCCAGGTGGATAGTTAAGAGATTTGGACTTTCTAAATTTAGCCCCTAAATTGGTTGTCTGTATCTTAAAGCGTTTTATAAGCAAAGGATGCCACTAAACAAGGATTTATGTTACATTTGTCACTTTATGTCATATTTAGTTAGCACTGTTTTTTCTATCCTATAATAGAATGAGTTGACAGTGCAGAGAATGGTGGGGTCTTTGAAAAGGTAAAATAGCAACTCTTCAAATTCTAAACCAACCTATAAAGCAAAAGAATTAGTAGATTGAGAACCTGAATGCTACTTTCATACTAATAAAGGCTACAGTGGAGGATAAAGCTTTCATCTATGAGCAAACAATTCTTGATGTGATACATCAGAATAAGGTAAGTGTATCCATCCACCTGACAGACGGTGCTGGGAGACCAAGAGGACCTGTTCCTCTAAGACTTCCAGCATTGAGGAAGGGTGAGTATTCCTTTGTGTTGCTAGCAGCCAACTTGGAGGAGTAAGAGGTGGCCAATATATGATCAGTTTCTTCCCCCATACTCATGTGACTTTAAAAATGCTCTGTTATGCCGGGTGTGGTGGCGCGTGCCTTTAATCCCAGTACTTGGGAGGCAGAGGCAGATGGATCTTTGTGAGTTCGAGGCCAGCCTGGTCTACATAGTGAGTTCCAGGATAGCTGGGGCTACAAGAAGACCCTGTCTCAAAAAGACAAAAAAAAAAAAAAAAAAATGTTCTGTTACATTTGGAAGATTTAGAAACAGGCCATCTTGATATTCACTATATTTTCTTTCATTAGCAAGGTAATTGTATATGCAGGCTTACATTCTGTCCAGTAGTTATGTGAAATAGCTGAATGTGTATGTTGTAATATAAAAAGTTTTTGTAAGAGTGATGCCACCTACAGCTACATAAATGATTCATACCTTAATTAGGTAATAGCCAAATGTATGCTTATAACAAAATTTACCCATTACATGGGTGCATACATGGTACCAATATTCTATGATCTATAAGCCTATTCACTAGGGAGGTCAGGAATCTTTTTTTTTCTGGTTTTTAGAACTGAGCACATACAGTACTGTAGAAGGAATAAGTTGTGAAGACTATGAATATGGTAAACAAGTATAATCAAATACAGCACATAGAAATTACTGAACACATTTATTAATATGCTTAGTATTTGTTGTACAGAACTTGGCATAAAAGATCATCCATGAAAATGACTTTAGTTTACCTTTCATAGACCCATAGAAAGATTTTCATTTTGTATATATGAAAAAGAACAGTTAATATTGGTGTCTCCTGATGCTGTGAACATATAAGCAACACACTACATACATACACACACACACACACACACACACACACACACACGGTATAGTATTCCTAGATCTTCCCAACAGGAGGCAACAGCAATACCATGTGTCTGCCCCCAGCAGCCTCACCTTAGAAATGCATTTGTATTAAAATGTGGATTTTGAAACTAGGTCACTGTATGACTTGATATATCAATACCTTCAGAATGACTCTTTGTGCTATTACATAGAATACCGAGATCTAGATTGGAGAATGGTTGTTAATATTTGGGAATTTTACAACCAATAACCAAGGAAGAAAAAGATCCATACCCTGAAAACTGTAAAACATTGATCAAAGAAATTCAAGAAGACAAATAAATGGAAAACTCTTGTATTCATGCATAGGAAGGATTAATATCATTGAAATGTCCATAATATCTGAAAGAAACCAGATTGAACACAATCCCTATCAAAATTTCAGGGACATTTTCACAGAAAAAGAAACAATTCCGAAATTCATACAGAACCATGGAAGAATTTAATTAGCTAAAACAAACCTGGGAAGAACAAAGTTGGAGGCGTTACACTTCCTAATTTCAAATTATATTACAAAGCTATGGTAATCAAAATAGTGTCAGCAAAAGAATGGATACATAGACCAATGAAACAGACTCAAGAGCTCAAACGTATATCCAAACATTTACAGCCAGCCTGTCTTTAACATGGAGAAAGAAATAGTCTCTTCAGTAAATGGTGTTGGGGAAACTGGATATCCACATGCAAAAAGTAAAAGTGGATCCTTATACCACACACAAAAGTTGACACAAATGTTTAAAGATTTAAATAGCAAACAAAAAAAAAAAGAAAACATTGACTTGAAAATGATTTTTTAAAAAAATGGGGTGTCAAAAGCACAAAGGAAAAAAATAGGTAAGTGGGATTATAGCGAATTAAAAAGCTACATAGCAGGAAATGAGAAGACGTCCTATAGATTGGGAAAATAAGTTTGCAATCCATTTATCAGATAAGGCTAAGTTAAGAATCAAAATGTATAAGGTATTGATGCAATGACAAAAAGAACAACAAAACAATTTAAGACAGGCCAGTGGGTCTGAATCAACATTCTTCAAAGATATATACAGCCAACAAGTACATGAAAAGATAATCAAAATCCCAAGATCAGTCAGGTAAATGCAAATCACAAATTAAGATAACACTTCACATCCTTTGGTTGAGTATTATCAAAAGGTGAAAGAAAATAATTGTGGGTAAGAGGAAAAGAACCCCTGTATTCCTCTTTATAGGAATGCAAATTGATATAGGCATTATTTAAAACCATTTAGAAATTCTTAGGAAATTTTAAAAAAAAAGGAACTTCCCTATGATCCTGCAGTACCATCTCAAGATTGATACCTGAAATGAAATCAATATCTCAAGGAGGTAAATGCATTCTTATATTCATTCTAGCATTATTAACAATAACCATGATACTGTGCACATATATGTGGAGAGAGAGGGTAGAAAAACGAAATCCTTTATATAAGTGCTTGAGATGACATTTCCTTAAATGAGTGCTTGGGAATGGAGCCCAAGTCTAAAACAAGTGCATTTTCTGTTCTATGTATATGTTAATAGATGTAGCCAAAAGGTAATTTTTTTAATTTAAAAAATTTTTATTTTATGTGTATGCATGTGTACCTGCATGTAAGTGCACCCGTGTCATGCAGTGCCCACGAAGGACAGAAGAGGCTGTCGGATCCCCTGGAACTGGAGTTACAGACAGTTGATAGCTGCCATGTGGGTGCTGGGATTCAAACCCGAGTCTTCTGCAAGAATAGTCAGTGTTCTTAACTGCTGAGCCATCTCTCCAGCCCCCAGCCTGAAGATAATTTTATACAACTGTATGCTTGTCTGAATTACATAAGAAATCTAAAAATGTTGACTAGATTGACACACAGAACAGAATGATGGTTGCCAGGTGTAGGGAGGTAAAGGAAGTAGGGAAATTTTGTGCAAAGGGCATAAAATTGCAGTCATATGCATAAGTCTGGAGATTTAATTGTGTCATAATGACTACATTCTACATGTAGATACTTAGTGATGTAAATACAGTTAATGATTTTTACATTGTGTACTGGAGCTTCGTTAAGAGTAAGTTTTGGGTTTTAACACACATGGACAACTATGAGACGTTAGATATGTTAATTCACTTAGCTATATTATCATTTCACCATTATTTTAAAAATATTTTTATATAATTTTATTTTTGTTCTGTGTGTATGTATGAGTATATTGCCTGCTTGTATGTAAGTGCATCTGTTTCATGCAGTGCCCGTGGAGATTAGAAGAGGGTGGTGAATTCCCCTGGAACTGGAGTTACTGATGATTGTTAAGATGCCATGTTAACAAGGTGCTGGGAATCATTGTGTGCACGGGTGTGCATATGGAGGTCAGAGCACAACTTATGGGAGGCAGATTTTTTTCTTTCTATCATGTGGGTCCTGGAGGTCAAATTCAGATTGTCAGGCTTGGCAGCAAGTGCCTTTACCCAATGAGCCATCTTGTCAACCCTAAAAAGTATCTTTATAGTTGAATTGAGGGGAGGAAATGCAATAATATAATGAAATACTAGTTATATTTGAAATTAATATATCACATGGGAGAACATAATTCACTAGAAAATTGGAGCAGTCAGTGCCTCAAGAATTTGTACTTGGAACTTGAATGTTGTGTAATATATCTGAAATCTCACCATTTAGGAGGCTGAAATTAGAGAATAAGTTCAAAGTCAGCCTACCCTACATAGTCTAGCCTGGGTTAACACAGGAAGGACCTGTGTCAAAACACAGTATACTTGGTAATATATCACTTCAGACTACCCTAGAAATGTACCAGAGATTAGTGATTATTCATATATAGGGTGAACAAGGATATCCCAAAAGCTGGTATGAAGTGAGCAAAAGTTCATAAAACAGGTGGAGGGAGGAACCTGCTGAGAACCAGAGGGATTCAAGGCTCAAAAACTGGGATAAAGTTTCATAAATGGAAGTTGAGACCATATTGGAAATACAGCCATTATAAATTATTTTTTACACAAGGTTGCATATAACCTAGGCTGGCCTGAAAACTGCTGTGTAGCTGAGGATGACCTTGAGCTACTTGTCCTCTTGTAGCCTTCTCCCAAATACTGGCATTTTAGGTATGTGCTGCTGTGCTTGGTTCCATTACAAATTCTTACAAGTTCTTCTGAAGATAAGATGTAGGTGGCAGAAAAATCATTGCTTTTATTGCAATAACTTAAAAATATGAAGTTTAAAGTATTTTTAATGCAGACAGCTGTTCAAAGAATTAAAATTTCATAGATGAGCTATAATGACCAACCGATTCTGTGACAATATTTGTCAAGTCTAAGTCTAGGCTGAGGATTGAACTTGGCTTAGGCAGAGTCACTTTGCCTATGGAAAAGATAAGCTTAGTGAACCACTTGATATGTGAGCCAGTACGAGTCACAAGCTAGGACGACCCCAGTGTGGATGGCTGATTTTCCTTGTGGGACTTCCACTGTTTATAGTGGAACGGTGAACTGAGAGACTGAGCAAAAAAATTCCCAAGAAACCTCCCACAACCTTACTTGAGAGTAGATGTTTAGTAGATAAAACCCCAGCAAGAATGAAGGGCTTACACAAACACATCCCAAGTCTTGTCTTTGAGATATTTAAGCATAGAATAAGACTGCCTAGCTCAATTCCATACTGTATTGAGATGATAGGTCCCACATCCTACTTGCCTAACACTCAAAAGGGCACATTGTCCCCCGTTGAAAATGATTTAGTTTCTGTGATTCTTTTGTACACAATTTCTAGTGAATAGTAAAATATGAAGCCTATGGAAATATTTGAAGACCTAATAGTCACAAAATTTCCAAATTTGTGAAAGAATTATTTCACAGATTCAAGAAGCTCAACAAAGTTCCAAATCGATAAGCACAAAGGAAACCACTCTTAGGCAACTGTTGCTAAAAGCCAAACAATTCTTAAAAGTGATGAAGAAAATTTAAATGTTCTATGAAAAAGAAATCTCAGGTAAGAGAATTAAACCTTGCTTTTCTGTGGAACCCTTGGAAGGCAAAAGAAAATGGAATAGCATTTTTTAAAATTCTGTAAGGTGAAAAAAAACATGCAATTTTAAATATACCAAAATACCTAGTGAAAATATCCTTCAACAAATAGGACAAAGATTTTTTTTTAAGAAAAAAACTGAAAATCATTAGCAATAGAACAATACTACAAAAAGTATTGCAGTTCTTCTAGTTGGAGAAAGATGATTCAGATAGAAGCCTGACATGAATGAATGAATGAATAAATGAATGAATGAATGAATGAATGAATGAATGAAAGAAAAATCACATGTATAGATGAAAGAATACTGAGTTTATGAAGTCACTGTTTGCAAACAAATAGGGGAATGAAATATATTAGAACAGTAGCATTAAGGAAGGAATGTAATTGAACTCATTTCTACAAATGAGAAAAATAGCAATGTATTTGGAAAGATCCCATAGTAAGTCAAATTAAGCATTTTTGTTTTAAAAATGTAGAAAGCCAGATGGCTGTAATGGTACATGTGTTTAGTACCAGCACTTGGGAGGCAGGAGCAGGTGGATCTCTGTGAGACTGAGGCCAGCCTAGTCTACATAGCGAGTGCTAGGCCAGCCAGGGTACAGGAAGACTCTGTCTCAATATAATTGTGTGTGTGTGTGTGTGTGTGTAATTCTAATAGATAGAATAATAATACTTTGTACTAATTTAAAAGTGCAGGAGATAAGTTGTACAGGACAAAAAAAGAATGTGGGAAAAAACAGATTATGATACAGTTTAAGTTCAGCCAGAACATTCATTACATTAAGTATAAATTTTAAGTATTAAAATTCAAAGATCAGGGGGTGGAGAGATGGCTTAGCAGTTAAGAGCACTGGCTGCTCTTGCAGAGGACCTGGGTTCAAATCCCAGCACCCACATGGCAGCTAACAACCATCCGTAACTCCAGTTCAAGGGGATCCAACCCCTCTTCTGACTTCTGCTGGCATTGCATGACATGAGTGCCCTTACATACATGCAGGCATAATATCCATACACATAAAATTAAATAAGTTTTAAAAATTCAAAGATCAATTCTTCATACATTAGTAAGATATTTAGAATATTATACCAAGAATTTATAATTTACATAAAATGGAAAAATTATTTTAAAAACATTTTATGAAAATTAAGAAATATAAAGTCCAAATAGATCTATGTCTTTCAGAGAAACTGCATTATAGAATTGAAGGTATAATTTAAAACAAGAGCTTTAGGATTTTGTGTGTGTGTGTGTGTGTTGAGCATGGTTTGATGTTCTACAACCATATTTTATGTACAGAGTTACAATTCACATACTGTATAGCACTACGCTAGAATAAGTTAATATAATTTTAAAGAAGAAATAAGGGGAAATTTTTAATTTTTAAAATTTCATGTTACAAAACATTGAATGACAAAAAAAATGTACTTTTTCTGAGTAGACCAATTCAAAAAATGTATTCAGTGGCCAGTCTTAGGATTTCCAAATTCTGAGTACAAAGCAGAAGGCTGAAAAGAGTGTTCTCAGCCTAACAGTTAAATGTCAGGTATAAAATCATACATGCTTATGAATCTTAGAAAGGTGAGATTGCAGGTCCACCAGCAGAATAAAAGCATGAGTCCACTTCAGGAGAGCCATGAATGAAAACTGAATTTTTTTTAACGTGTATGAATATATTGCCTGTATATATGTAAGTGCACCCATGTAGTACAATGCCCAAAGAGGTCAGAAGTGTCAGATTCCCCTGGAACTGGATTTATTAACTCCATGTAGATACTGGGAATCGAATTGAACTTGTATCCTCTGCCAGAGCATCCAGTGCTCTTAACCATTGAGCCATCTCTCTCATCTTAACCATCCATTCTTCATTCTCAATGGAGAATAATAATTATTCTCCATTGAATATTTGTTACAATTTGAGGATAGGAAAAGCAAATAGGAAGCAAAATAAAACCTCTAATGTGAAAGGGGGAGATTTCCTTGGGACCAACCACTACAGTTGTGCTACATCAGAAAAAAGGACAGGGACACAGAGAAAGCTTTGCCTCTGAGACTAGACTGAAGCTGGGCAAGAACAAAGGTACTATGCACATACACCAGCACATTACTAAAGACTGAACAACATCGGTCTGCTACTGGGAAGAGTTAGGATGTGGAGAGACATGATCTGAAGTATAAGAGCCAAAGCTAAGGATGGAGCAGATACTGAGAAAATCCATCCAGCAAATCAGCCTCCAACCTGAGCACAAGATAATGATACCAAAGGAATTTGAAGCTGGTGGTACACTAAACATAAGCATAGTAACAGAGTCAAACAATTATGGATTGGACTGACAACTTTAACTCAAATAAAACTCTGTAAGATAAAGATGTGATTCATTTCTAGATATATTTACCTTGCTGCATTCAATATTTTTCAAATGAAATTATATAAAAGAAAAAAGGGAAGGAGAAGGAAGGGAAAAAGAAAAGATTATCATGACACCAAAGGAAAACCCAGGCTAGAAATGATCCCAGATACTGGATCTATCAAGGAATCAAAAATGACTGAAAGTCCAAAACATTAACAGAATAACCATAAGTGGAAACTACAAATGTGAAATGGAATAGCTAGAAATTAGAACATAATCAAGATGACAAAGCCTTTCATGGATACGAGTACATAAAACCAAGCAGGGATGGGGGAATCAGTAAACTAAATCAATATAAAGCACCTAAACCAAAGTATAAGGAGATGGTGAGAGCAAACAGCAGTTCAGCATACCCAAAGCTGTGGAACACTTTGAAATGGGCCCAGCATGCATGTATTTGGAACTCCAGAGAATGAGAGGGAAAACAAGATAGAATTATCTGAAGATTTAATAGAAAAGAATTTTCTAAAAACAATGACATCAAAATATAGATCCAAGAAGCTTCAAGAACCCAAACATTAAAATTATAATTTAAAAAAAATCACCTTGAAACACATAGACTGCTTAATGTGAAAGATGAAAAGAATTTTAAAACAAGCACTTAAAAACATAAAGCCAGGTATGGTGGCACACGCCTATATGCTCAGTATGTGGCAGGTGAAGGCAGAAAGTTCAGGAATTTAAGGACACCCTTGGGAGACAGGGAGTTCAAGGCCAGCCTGGGCTATACAAAACCTTGTCTCAAAAACAACCGCAAAAGATGGCAAAGGTGTGAGAACAATGTGGAAACCATACAAACCAAAAGATACTGGCCTCACGTCTTTAAAATGCCTCAGCATTCTGGAGGGATTCTGCCAACCACATTCAAGTCTCACTGAAAACACCCTGCATAACTAGTATTTTTTCAGACGAGTAAAAAGAATTACCAGTAAACCTTCATTACAAGAAGTTTAAAAAGGAATTCTTTGGGTAAGTAGAGTATGACAGAAATTTGTTCTTCATAAATAAAGTCCCCAGAAACATACACTTAAGATTAATGTAAATTTTCTGGAACAAAAATGATAACAATTTTTACTATTTGTACCAAATACAAAAGTACAGCAGTACAAAAGGTGGGAGGTAGGAATTTGATGTGTGCTATGCATATTTAGTTGTACCTCCGTCATGTTCTCCATAACATTTCAGTCCACAGTAGACTGCACTTACAACTGTAGTCCCCTCAGATCATATTGCCTAGTCATGTCATACACACCTTAGAACACTACGATGTTCCCATAGTGAAAGAATTGTGTAAAAATGCATCTCTCAGAGTATGTCCCTATGGTTAAGTAGTGCACAACTGTAAATGTAAATCAGAATAATATTAATTGAAGATAGATTGTGATTTGTCGAAATACGTATTGCAAACTTTAAAGCAAGGGTAAGTAAACAATGAACCATGGGCCTTGTGCAGCCCATGATGTCATTTTGTAAATTAAAACTTCTTTGACACAATTACACCCATTCCTTTCCATATTGCCCACAGCATTTGTGCTGCATTGATAGAATGGAGTAGCTGCAATAGGCACTTTATGTTTAGGAACTTAGGTCTAAGCTCAAAACTGAAAAAAAAAAAAAAATTCCTATCTGGCTGTCTCAGAAAAATATTTGCCAACATCTCTGTAATAATCCTAAGTGTTAACTGAGGTGTGGAAACTTAAAAAGAATTTCCTTCAGTCATTTAGAAGTAATACTACACTTGTACACTATCAAACCTTATTTATCACTCTCCAGATTCTTGTTTCAGTTTTGAAAGCCAAAATTTCTTTGTTAATGGAGAAATATTTTCTTCTATTCATTCATGTATTCACATAAAATAAGCATTGTTTTTCCTTTAGTCATTTTGGCAGCAAAGCCTTCCCCAGCATGATTGTTGAGCCCTAGATCTTGATCAATGTCCATAGTTTCCTTTTAGTTACTGCAAAGTAGTGTTATAATTCATACTTTAGTTTGTAAACAACAGAGATTCTTTCATGGTAGCTCAAGCAAAAGTAAGGGTTCATGTGAACTGGAAATGGAAAGTTATCAAGAGAGGAGGGAAGAGCTCCCATGTGTACATGATTTCTCTCAGAGTGTCTTCACTTCCTTCATACCTCTTTGGTTGCTACCCTACTGACTGGTCTTCTCTGATTACTAACCACTTTTGTCTCCTTACAAGTCTGTTGTGAATATAACTTCAGTCTGCCATAGTCCTCCACCCCATGTCATCCTTTTGTATTCTTCTATCTGGCTCTTAATTTCCAACTTCAGCATTATAAAACAAGACTGCTTGATCTAGCTCATCTTTTCTTGCCACTTTGCTTCATAGGTCTCTGGTAGCTTAAGGATTGTCTACTCTTGGGTAATGTCTCCACTCTGACTAAATCATCACTAGCTTACTCATTTAGTCTAAAATCCAGCAGGAATATCTATGAAAGAGAAATCTCATAGGAGGTATCTACACAGTAAACATCCAAGATTTAACTAGTACAGCAGTCATTCCTCAGACAGTCCATATTCTAGTACATTATCTTGTATGTACAAACTTGTCTTTTATAAGTTAATTTTTAGTATTTGAAAATACTTGTGCAGGGTGTGTGGCACATTCCTTTAATCCCAGCACTCAAGAGGCAGAGAGGCAGAGGCAGGCAGATATCTGTGCGAGTGAGACCAGCGTGGTCTACATAGTGAGTTCCAGGGCAGCTGGGGCTACAGGGAGACCCTGTCTCTAAAAGACCAAACAACAACAAAAACCCACCACAACGAAAAACTTTAGGGTGATGTCAGTTTTCTCAACCTTCTCATCTTACCAGCTTTCTCCCTAAATTAGACAACCTAAATAACCCTTCACTGAAATATAATCACTTCAGTTTTCCATCCCTGGTTTAAGGAAGCTGTAGGTATTAAACTTCTAACTCTCATATGTTAGCTCTGATGTTACTTCTAAATTCTAAACTTTTTCTGAGACAGAGTCTCATTAAGTAGCCCTGGCTGGGACTCAACTCATTGTGTAGACCAGACTGGCCTAAAACACAGAAATCCACCTGCTCCTTCATCCTGAGTGGTGGAATTAAGTGTACCACCAAGCCCATCCTAATTCCTAACATTTTGTGACACAGTTCAGGTTCCTGGCATCTAGATGGTCCTGTATCTCTTGAGAATGCCTTAAAGTCAATAATCTATGGTGCTGTGTATCTTTGCTCAGAGTTCCATTGAAGTTTGAGATTTCCTGTCCTTCAAATTGAACATTTTGAGTCACTCTGATGTAGGCAGGTCTACTACTAAGACCCTGAAAGTCATTCCAGTGAGTTGTAAAATCTTTAAAAGATTGATCAGTTGTCTTGTAAACTTGTTTGGGCCTTGTAAATTTGTCTAGCAGATGAGGCACCATAGTCAAAGCATTGACTTCCTCTCTTTGGAAGCTTATTTTTAGCCCTGGATTTCATAGCTGACCTTGGTATTTTGTTAGTTACAGTGAAAAATCCCATCCAGGACAAAATATCTTGTACTAGAAATGTGACAATAATCTAAAATTCTGTCCTCACCTACACATAGTCTGTTTAGATTTCTGTCACAGTCAAGCTTATGTATGCCACTCCCTTGTATGTAATCAGATGAATCTGAAAGGGAAAAATTAAGTGTACTCAAGGGGGAGATAACTTTTAAAAAGATAGAAAAGAATAACAAAAGAATAAACCTGAGGAAAATTTCATACTTCATGCTAGTGTTTGTATACCTAAAGGAAATCAGAGGATGCTTAGCAAGGAGAGAAGTCAGTCATGATTCTTAGAAGATAGTTGTTAACATCGGCATTTAAAAATATTTTGTTTGTTCTAATTTTCAAGATGATTATAGATCTTGGGAAATTCAGAAATGTGAACTGTGTAAACCAGAGCAAGTTTACCATCCCCCAGCTGTGAAATTTGGAAACTCAACTACATTTCAGGATGACTATGTTCCTCAGGAAATAAAGCCTAGGCAAAGCTTTAAGCCCTGCCCTGTGGTCAAGTGTTCTACAATCCCTTTTAATGGTGATACAAGCCATCGTCTTGATTATGCACCTTATCAGCTAGAAGTCAAGTTTGCAAGGCCAAAAGAAGTTTACAAGCCAACTGATCAACCTTTTGAGGATCTCACAACTCACCGGAATGACTTTCAAGGTCTTACTGGAGAAACTGCAAAAATCTGCAGACCTTCCTACACCAGAGTGACCCAAAATGCTCAATTTAAAGGAAGCACTGAATTCCGTGAAAGTTTTCAACCATGGGAAATCCCACCACCTGAAGTCAAGAAAGTACCAGAATATGTGCCTCCTACAGGAAGCATGCAATTAAACAGTACCAGCCATCTTGACTATGTTCCCTATCAGGCCAGCCGTGTTGTTGCCATTAGGCCAGTTTCTCACAGAACTAAAAACAGTATTCCTTTCCAAGGAAAAAGTACCATGAAGGAAGACTTTCCAGCATGGGAAAGTTGTCGTCAAGGACTTATTAAGCATCAGCAACAGATTCCCAACCCATCTGGAAAATTTGATGGTTTGAGCACTTTCAGATCTCACTTTGTGCCACATGAATTGATTCCAACAGAGAGTTGCAAACCTTTAAAGGCTGCTCTTAAGAGTTCTGTTCCACTTGATGATGTTACCATGTACTCTATAGAATACACACCAAAGAAACAGGAAATCTGCCCAGCTAGCTATCCCTCTCCTCCAGGTTATATATTTGAAAATACAAATTCCCAAGGTCATAAATTCTTTCGAAAGATCATTCCTACCGTGAAAGCCTTTTAGTAATCAAATAATGTTTTAAAGAAATGGAGTGAGATGTTGGTTTTTTAAGAAAAAATCCAAAAATTGTTTTTATAATGAAAAGTTATGAGAGTATAACAAATCATTTTTTAGATTTGTAAACAAAATTAGAAATTTTTTTTGCAATCAGAACACCAAAATGCATTTTGTACTGATAGTTTAGCAAGATTGTTCCTTGTTGTTACTATTTTGTTTTGTTGTTGATAGGGTCTCCCTATGTATTCAAGGCTATCCTGCAAGTTCCAATTCTCCTGCTTCAATCTCCCAAGTTATAATTGTTCTTTAATAGGCATTTCTGAAGGTTAAATAATGTACATCTTTATCTGAACATGCTGTTTAATAACTTGTCTTCAGTCTATATTATATTTCTGTTTATAATTATGGCTATTCACAAAACAGTTGTCATTTATCAAGCACATTGGGACTGTCTAGATCAAAACTGAAGATACAAGGATTGATTTCTCTTCCAAAAAAGAAAATCGAGATTCATTTTCCTTTAACTTCAACACATCTACATAGCATAGAACAAGTCAAGTTTGGTTGCCAATGCCAGAGTCTGCTGCTCTGCTCCTCACTCTGTTTAAGATATCAGGAGGTATTGTGGTATGACAAGAAAAAGAATCAGAGGACTTGAGTTCAAGTTCTAATAACATCAATTTCTATTTCTGCCACTGTAAGCAACCCACTCATGTATACACCTCTGTAAATTCATTTATAGAAGGATCTGTTCCACTTACCTCATGGAAATTTTTTTGTAGCATCAAATCATAAACATTTTAATCCATAAAGTAAAAGTGCAAATGTAAGGGATTGTTAACAAATCACTCAGTTACTTTTTGTGCATTTTTGTCCTTTCAAGAATAAATACAAATTCAACACTCATTACCTACCCTCCATCAAGGATTGTAAGACACTAATTTGCTTTGAGTTTATGAGTAATGTGTGTTTGTGAGAGGAGTCTACCTGCTGTAGCTTCACAAGCATCTAGAAGTTATTGTAGAGAATAGAGAATTTATAGTAAGTACCTTGATGTGAATAAGTATATTTCAAACAGGAAAAGTGCTTACTAGAATAAGTTTAGGGAGGATCTACTGCTCTGAATAAATCTCCAGGATAAACTTAGATAGTTCTCCTCCCAATGACCATATCCAGAGTCATTGCTCAGAAGCAGAGCCTAGCCTTTTAGTAAGCCCTTAGTGAGCTATTAGCAACCTTGTTCACCACTAAACGTGTAAAGATAAGTGCTAAGAAGGAAGGAAAGGAATGATGCCAGCAAGGAAGTGGAAATAGCATGTTACACTTAAAAATGCTGAACGTATGAATTAAAGTGAGTGCTGTAAATAAATGATTGTCTTATGGGAGAATAAGATTTACTTTAATGTAAAATGAATTTTAAATGAATTTTCATAATTTTTTAAAAAATATATTAAGAAATTCACAATGTTAAATATTTCTAATTAATTGAAAGTGATTCCTCACATTTTTTTAAAATTGATTTTTCTGAAGTCATTTCTGTACCATTTTCTTTTGGGGGAGGGGGGTCTTTTTGAGACAGGGTCTCCCTGTAGCCCCAGCTGTCCTGGACCTCACTATGTAAATCAGGCAGGCCTTGAACTCACAGAGATCCGCCTGCCTCTGCCTCCCAAGGGCTGGGATTAAAGGCGTGCGCTACCACACCCAGCAGTTTTTGTTTTTGTTTTTAGCAGTACTAAGTAGGGAATCAAACACCCCCGGCTGTACCATTTTCTTTGGGAGAGAACTCCCTTGCTTCTGTGGGCAGCAGCAAAGAGCAACAGCCACCCCTCCACCCAGACTGGGCAAGCCCACAAGTCTGAACTGCGCCTGCTCCAAGTCACTACTGAAGCTCCTGGCAGATCTACCCAACGTTGATCTCACCATCTCCCCTTGCAGCTCCATTGTAGCCAAACCTGGAACAGCGGGATGGCATAGATGAGTATGGCCAGTCAAACTTAGTGCTACACACCTGCTGCTCCCAAAACCAAACACTGAACTGCCCTCATTTTTGTGTGGGTACTGCATGACGGGAAAATACATGGCAAGTCTGCTAACCTTAAGAGGATAGCTCCAAAATGGAGACTATCACAGCCAATCACCTTAGGCATTTTAGTTCACCCAGTACTGTACAGGGTGTGCTGTACAGGTACAGAGAGGAGAAAGACTCATTGATCTGATTTGATTGTCACAGAGAAGTCTTCAGATGAGCAGTCAGTCTCAGGAAGGGCAGGAAGAAAAGGGAAAAAACTAGAATATAGAGCAGTATCTGGTGTAATGTATGCTCTGGGTGTATAGTCCTGTCTCCCTTATAGGCCATGGAGTTGTAGCATGCTTTCCCAGGCCTTCAGCTCCCACCAAAGATTTGCCTTGATCTGAGATTGACAGGGAAAGATGATCTTTCAAATGAAATGTGTGTTAAAGAAGCCATGTTTCTCACCCCAAAGGACTGTAGGGGCTGTCTGGGTAGAGAAAGCCTTTGGACTTCACTAGAGAGTTTCCCCATCCAGAAATCATGGTACCCAAGCCTTACCTGAGTTTTTTCAGGGCTCCAAGGCAGAGAAAGTTCTGAGGAAACTGGGTACCTCACCACTCAGGCAAGTGGCAGGTGGTGGTTGTGAGCATGTGCTGTAGCAGGGAGGCCACCTGGCCACACTGCGGGGGCGCCTGAAGCCTAAGCCAGTATACATGATTAGGACCCAGAGTTCAGAGAACTGGAACAGGGACCACCAAATATTGGGGACTGGCGAGTTTGTAGAAGAATTCACTCTTCAGATCAAGATGAGTTCCTTGAATACGAATGCAGCAAGAGAGGGCAGTAACAGAATTGCCTGCATAGGACAATGGCCTGTGGTGGCCTCTGTTTTGAAGCTGTCCTTCAATTAGAGTAACCGACCATGCAATTTCTACTATGCAAAAAAGGCAGTTTGATATTTGGTTCTACATGGAAGCTAGTGTTATTGGGTGGCAGCTCCGTGGTACTGGGTTATGGTTACTTTTGATAGGCTACGGTCATTTATGGCGTTCTACCACTCATAGTTCTATTGGTATGGAACTGCTATCAGAGTTGGTGGTAGAATTGGGAGGATGTGTTCTGTGGCATCAAGGGAGGTCAAGGCTACAGTTTGGTGAAAAAACAGGCATGTTTTAGACTTGTTGAATGGCTTTGCCAAGGCAGAGCAGGGTGGCTGCCCCCCCCCCCCCGTTATCCTAAGAGGTAGCAGAGCTGTTGGAGTGGAAGTTCTCTTTTTCAGAACAGTTTCTGTCAGGGCTTGTATGATGGAAATTCTATGTTAGGGATCTGCTCCCTTTTCTGGTTTATCAGTTAAGGCTTCTCCACATTAACCATCCTGGATATTATCAAAATCTGACTGACCTGACTGACAGTTGCAGTCCATCCATTCAAGCCTTCCTTATGGGAGAAGGGACATCCTGAACTCTAATTCACATTAGCCATCCTGATCCACTCTAAAGGAAGAATGTTTTTTAAATCCTCAGAAGAAAATGAAATTCAGCAGCATAGGCTCACCAAAAGGCTGTTATCCAATTGTAAAATTGTAGAATAAGTTTCCCTTACATTTTAGCACCAGATTACTAAAGGTAGCAGTTCCTCTTATCTGGAATCTCATACTAAAAGTTTTTAGTTCCACAAGCTGAGAAGACAGAGCAAGAACTAGACATGAAAGGGATGATAGAATCATCAAGTTAGGAATTTTAAATAACTCTGTTATGCTAAGGGCTTTGATGGATAGATAATGCAGTAAAAGAGAGATGGGCAATCAAGCAGAGAGATCAGCATTCAGAGAAAGAACCAAAAATAAGTGCTAGAGGTGAAAAAACATTGGAAAATGAATGCCTTTGATAGGGTCATTTGTAAACTGACTTAGGAAAGAATCTCCCAGCTTGATATCTCCTGGATATCACAAAACTAGGGGAAAATGAAAAAAAAAATTATAAAGAAGGAGAATTTCCAAGAATTATGATGTAATTACAAAAGAAGCAACATACACAATGGGAATTACACAGAAAAAAAGAGAAAGGAACAAATATTTGAAACATTAATGGCTGAGAATTTCTCCAAGTTAATATGTGAGAAATGATATTACAGACCCAGGAGATCCTCAGAAAACATCAAAAAAGATAAATGAAAAAAAAATTACTCTAAAACACACCTATGCACATAATTTTCTACTTAAGAAAAAATGAAATATAAAGACAAAATACTGAAAGAAAAAAACCATCTTACCTATAGAGGAGTAAAGATATCTATCCATTGATCCATCTATCATCTATCTATCATCATCTATCTATCATCTATTATCTACCATCTATCTATAATATATCTTTTCTTCAGAAACTATGCAAGCAAGAAGCAAAACTCACATAAAAAGAAACAGGCTATTTGAGTAAGCCTATCCAGTAAAGAAATTGAAAAAACATTGATCATCTTCAAAAACCAGAGAACACCACACACAGGTGTGTTTACTGATTAGTTTTAATAAAAATTTAAGGAGGAAATGATGCCAATTCTTTACAATCTCTTTCAGAAGACAGAATACTTCCAAATACTTTTGGTAATACTTCCAAACTCAATATAACAATCTGGCACCACTCTAATACCCAAAACTAGACAAACATTATAAGAAAAGCCACACACCAATATTTCTCATGAGCATAAATGCTGCAATTCTCAAAAAAAAATAGAAAATTGAATCCAATGACTTATAAAAGAATTAAACACTATGATTAAGTGGGATTTATCCCAGCTATGCCAGGTTGGTTTAACAGATCATATCACACACTAAAAAACATGATCATATCAACAAATTCAGAAAAAAATCAATATAAGAAAATTCATTAATCTAGGAAATAGAAAATTCTTCCACTTGATAGAATTATATAAATGAATGTGTTAGCTAACTTCATGACTAGTGCTGAGAAACTTGACTCATTCCTACTAGATTAGGAGCAAGGCAAGCTGTCCCCTCAGCACCCGATTCTCACGTATTAGAAGTCATACAAATAAGGAAACAGCTAAGATATATACAGGCTTGGAGGAAATATTAAACTTTGTTCACTTATGACATGATAATTTGTGTAAAATAATCACACACACCCCACAAAAAAAAACTTCTAAAAATCTAGAACAAATAAGTAATTATAGAACTGTTGCCTACACAGTTAACATAAAAACGTCAATTGTTGGACTGGGGATGTAGCTTTGTGATAGAGCACTTGCCTAGCTCTAAGTTCAATACCCAGAACTATTGGGAAAATATAACCAGTTTTTTTCCGGTATGTCAGCAATGAGCAATGAGGATCTTAAAAAATATTTTATTTATTATTTTTATTTTATGTGTATGAGTGTATTGCCTGCATGTATGTGAGTGCACCCATGTCATGCACCCATACCGCAGAGGTCAGAAGAGGGTGTCAGATTCCCATGGAACCAGAGTTAAGGTTTGTAGCCGCCATGTGGGTGTTGGGAATCGAACCCGGGTCCTCTGCAAGAGCAGTCAGTGCTCTTAACCACTGAGCCATCTCTCCAGCCCCCTGACTGCTCTTGCAGAGGGGCCGGGTTCGATTCCCA